GTGGTTCTCATGGCAACGGGACGGATCTCCAAACACAGCCTCGGCGCCGGCGGAAAAGCCCTAGAACAGCGGGCGCTGGGCCCCCACGCGGCGTCTGGGAAGCGGAGCTGCGCGCACATCCAACCACGGCGCACGCATTGCAAGAGCAGAACCTGCAGAAAGAGCCCCCACCCCACCCGTGCGAGGGTGGGCACGGGAAACACATGTTTTAATAAGGGTGGAAGTGGATTTGAACGGTCTGGAAGCAGGATGTTCACACTGCAGTCACAGCAAGTGCAAAAGCCCCGAGGTGGGCACGGAGTTCAGGTGTGGGAGGCAGAGCGAGGAGGGCTGCGTGGCTTAGCTGGAGCAGGGGAATGATGGGGGGCGGGGGTGCAGAGGAGCCTGAGGGGTTAGGGTTTGTTCTAAAAGAAATAGGAAGCCACCGGAAGCTGTGGAGCGCCTAGGGGCGGGGTTTTAAGAAGCTTCTTGAGGCTGAGCGGTAGATCGGGAGGCCTAGGTAGACAGGGGCCATGGGCCTGGTCAAGGGGCCCGGGAGTGGGGTCGTCAGCAAGGAGGTGAAGGGTCAAGGCTGGATCCCAGACCTGCGACCCCTTCGCAGTCTAGGGCCCACCGTGTGTGGCTGAGTGCGGGGACTGCAGCCCTGAGCTGGGTCTCTAGGGACCACCAACAACCCCCATACCCCACCGCGGAGGGTCAGGCGGCAGTGCCTGGGGGGAGGGGGGCGAAGCAGGTTCTGATTTGAGGTATGGGGGCTGCCTGGAAGAGGGGCCTTCCCTCCCCCCCTTCACTTCCTTCCAGCCCTTCCATTCTCAGACCCTTCGAGGGCCCACCTCCGAGGTCTTGCACTGGCTGCTCCTGCCGCCTGGAACTCTCTCTGGCTCCAGGCCTGGCCTATTCTGGCTCTTCCTCTGGCCTTTGCTCCCAGCAGTTCCTCCTCTGTCCCCTTCCCCCCCTTCTGTCCCCTTCCCCTCCTCCCCTTCCCCCTCCTCGCCTTCCCCGGCCACATCCTCCATATTACTGGTTCTCCACTAGCCTGTATGGGACTTGTCACTGTTGATAAAATAATGCCTCGAGTAGTCTGTTTGCAGCTCTGCCTCTCTCTCAGGATGGGCCCTCCCTGCGGACCCAGATGTCTGGCTGTGAATATGTTGCAAAAGTAGTAGGGGAGGCTGATTTGGGGTTTTCCTGATAATGGTTTTTTCTCTCCACAGGAGACGGGAGCAGCCCCCTTCCCATTACAGTGGGAGGCTTTGGAAGGAGCCAGGATCCGGGCTGGCGGCCCTCCTCAGCCCTGCGATGGAGGGGGCCACAGCTGGGAGCAGGGTCTGCACCAGGAGACATTTCCTCTCAGAGCTGTAATTATGGGTAATTTTCTAACTGCAACACAAAAATTAAAACCCAAACACCAGGAAGGAAGAAGCCACAGCAGCTGGTGACTATGGGTGGTGGGTGAGGGTGCTGAGGCGTGGGGTGGGGGTTCCAGCCTGGACAGAGTGGGAGCAGGGCCCCCCGCCAGGGGTGCTGGTGGAGGGGCGGAGGGGCACAGGCGGAGGGGTGTTCAGACAGCATAGATTTCCTGGAAAACCAGCAGCTACCTGGAGTCTCAGGTCACAATTTCCGCCCAAGACTGGTCACCTGGAGGCGGAGTCCCCCGTGGAGGACCTGGGCCTGGGTTTGAACCCTGGCTGTGCCCTGTTCTGCTGTGTGGACTTGAGCAAGAGCTGACTGAACCGCAGCCCCGCCAGCCCACTGCCCTGCTCCGGGCCTTTTCCGGGGCTCCCAGTGCCCACACACTTAAGCCCCTGCCCCTCTGCCTTGCACTTGAACTTCAGAGTCAAACCAATCATTAGGAACCTGTGCGCCCAGCACCTCATGAGAGAGGCAGCGTTTCTCTTCCCCATGTTACAGATGGGGAAACTGAGGCCTGGACAGGCACCAGGGGAGTCATGTGGGCAACCCAGAGGCAGCACTCCACCCACTGAAGTGCCCCCAGCTCCCTGCCTCGGTCTGGGACACTCACTCTGGGATATTGGAGGCATTTTTGTGAGAACCTCAGGCCTGGGGGGAGGCGCAGGGGAGGGAGAGATGGCGGTGGGGGAGTCTATAGCAGCTGCTGACAAAGTTCTGCAGGTAAAATAGGCTCAGAGCAGGGAAGCAACTTGCCCCAAGATGCATAGCAGAGAGTGGAGGTACCAGGTCCACTGTGGGGTGTGGTGGCAGTGCCCCCCCTCACCTCTCTCTCCAGAGCCCAGGCCTCTCTTGTGGTGGAGGAAAGCATTTCCATGGCACCCTAAGGTTGCATTCTCACTCTGTGTGGCACACGGGGAAAAAATTTTTCTGTCCTGTCCAGGGTCCCCCATCTTAACAGGAGTGGGGAGTAGATGCTCCCTAAGCACCAGAAACTAGGCATTTTTTGTCCATGATCCTGTTGCCTGCACCCAGCTCATTCCCACCCCAGGGCCTTTGCACAGACTGCTTTCCCTGTCTGGGACACCCTTCCCCTCCCCCTGGCTGGCTTCTCCCCGTTCAGGCCTCAGGTCCAGGGATATCTCCTCAGAGAGCCCCTCCAATGTCCTGGGTCACATTGCTCTGTTGGATTTTCCTGAAAATTTTGCTTTTGCACGTTGATTGCTCATGTCCCCAGTAATTCATGAGTTTCATGAGCAGAGAATTCTAATGTTTTGTTTCATGCTGTATCCCTAGCCCTGAGAACAAGGCTTGGCACACAGCAGGTAGGCACTCAGTAAATACCTGTTGCTGAACTAAAAATTACAAACGCCTCCTCTGTGCTGAGGCCTGAGGCCTCCAGTGTCCTCAGAGATCTCAGCCCAAGGGCCACACAGCTGGTCACAACCCGCTTGTTTTCCACGTCTGCCAGGGCCGCCGCGCCTGCAATCCCGAGCTTGACCACACGAGGGCGGCAGAGACTCGCAGGTCCAATTCCTGAGGGTCCCTGGCGCCCCTACGGAGCAGCTCTTGAGATCCCCAGTTTCAGGCTTGGACCCCAGTAGGTTTCTCTGATTTCACCTCCAAGTGGGCTTCCATCTAACGTTTACATATTAAGGAGGTGAATAATTTCATAGCAGAAAAAATATTTCAAAGATCACCCAGTTCTCCCCCCCAAAAAACACACCCTTATTCCCATTTTGAGCTCTTTCCTCCAATCTTTTTGTTTTTCCTTTTTTGTCCTATCTTTTTTCTCAAGAGGCCTTCCTTGACTAAACCCTCAAAACTGCCAATAGCCCCATCTAGTTGTCAGAATACCCCACAGTCATTTTTTTTTTTCTTTTTCTCAACAGCACTATTTTCTTAAAATTGATTTCAAAAAGGAAGGGAGAGGAAGAGAGATAGAAGCATCAATGATGGGAGAGAATCATTGATCAGCTGCCTCCTGCACGCCCCCCTCTGGGGATCTAGCCTGCAACCGCAACCTGAGCATATGCCCTGACCAGGAACCGAATCATGACCTCCTGGTTCATAGGTCTACACTCAACCACTGAGCCACCCTGGCCGGGCGCAATAACACTGTTTTCCAACCTCCTTTGAATTTGTCAGTTTATAGTTTCATCATCTCCCTCACTGGAATGTCAGCTCCCCAAGGGCAGGAGTCTTCCTGCATGCATCCAGTAGGCGCTCAGTTAATATTTGTGAAACGAACAAAGCTTGCCAAAAATACAATGAATCAAACCTAGCAAATAAAGCTAAATACCCCTATTAGCCCCACCCCCAGGCAGCCGCTATCACCTGTGCATCCACAAGCGCCATGTGCGTTATGCAATGGCTCTGCACACCTTCCAGGTGGACACAGACAAATGCAGCCTCATGGTCAACACACGGATTCAGGGCTGCCCCTTAGCAACTGTAGGGCCCTGGGCAAGCTACTCAAACACACCGTGCCTCAGTTTCCCCTGCTGTAAAATGGGGGCAATGATAGTTCCAATTTCAAGGGACTATTGTGAAGATTGCACAACTTAATACTAATTAAGTAGCCAGTGCCTGGATGCCGTTACTTATAACTAAATATAATAATTATATATTATAATTAACATTTAATGATATATTTCCATGTTAATACTTATATATTTATATATAGTAAACAAGGTTTTAAAAATCTAACTGCTGCCAAAACCGGTTTGGCTCAGTGGATAGAGCGTCGGCCTGTGGACTCAAGGGTCCCGGGTTCGATTCCGGTCAGGGGCATGTACCTGGGTTGTGGGCACATCCCCAGTGGGAGATGTGCAGGAGGCAGCTGATCGATGTTTCTCTCTCATCGATGTTTCTAACTCTCTATCTCTCTCCCTTCCTCTCTGTAAAAAATCAATAAAATATATTTCTAAAAAATCTAACTGCTGTATAGCATTCCTTTTTTTAATCATGAGATAAATGATTATTGTTAATTTTTTAATTCCCCTCTCCCCTCACTCCCTCCCCTTTAACAACCATCAAGTTGTTCTCTATATCTATAGTTCTGTTTCTGGTTGTTTGTTTTTTGTTAATCCTCACCTGATGATATTTTTTCCACTTTTTTTTAGAGAGAATGGAAGGGAGGGGAGGGACAAAAAGAGAGAGAGAAACATCTATATGAGAGAGACACATTGATTGGTTGCCTCCTACACGCACCCTGACCAAGCCCGGGGATCGAGCCTGCAACTGAGGCACGTGCCTTTGACCGGAATCAAACCCGCGACCCTTCAGTCCAAGGCTGATGCTGTAACCACTGAGCCAAATGGGCTAGGGCTGTTTCTGTTTTGTTTATTAATTTATTTTGCTTTTTTAGATTCCACATATAAGCCCTGGCTAGGTAGCTCAGTTGGATAGAGCATCATCTGATAGGCCAAGGTTGCGGGTTTAACCCCTGGTCAGGGTACCAAAAGGAAAAAATGTGTACATATTAAGGTGTACAACTTGATGTTTGATACACAGTGTGAGATAATCATTACACTCAACTTAATGTACATACCCACCTCCAGACTCCACGCTCTAGTGAGACCGTGCAGTATTCCTTCACAGCACTTCCCCTGTCTTCATGTGGGATCCCCAAAAAGCAGCCCCTGTGACCAGAATTCAAGAGCATAATTACTTGGGAGGTCACCCCAGGAGCCCAGGTCGTAGTGAGGCGAGAAGGCGCCCAGCTGAAGATGTCCTGAGTGGGCTCCCCAGAGGCTGGGTCTCCAGGGAGTCCTCAGGGAAGACAGAGGTGCTTTACCGGGGAGGACTAGGAGCCTGGGCGTTTATAATGAACTGCCTTCCACCTGTTTCAGGGCTGCTCCTAGGAGAGCCTGTGGGCCGGCCGCATGGCCTCCTGCGGCCAGAGCAGGGAAATGCCATCTGGCAGGTGGCCTGCACCTTTTGACTACGGTCGCCTCAATGCCACCTCTTGTTTGCCCACCCCCCTCCCAAAGGTATCCAGTGGCTTCTCAAAATTTGCTATAACTAACAAGGCCATGTGACCTCAAATAAGGTCTTTCCTCCTCATTGAAAATCAAGGTTGACCTCCGGAATTAGATTTGTGTGTTCGTGACTATCGTTTTAGCCCGCGGGACCCTCAGCGGGTGCATTGGTTGCGTGTGTCCCCAGCTCCAGGCTGGTGCTCACATTCATGTCTGCCTCCCAGCCTTTCACAGCCACCTACACAGTGGTCGTGACTGTCCTCATTTTAAGAGAAGAAAGCCAGCCCAGGCACAGGGAGGTTAAGGTACTGGCCGGAGATCACACAGCAGGGAAGTGGCCAAGCATATCTCGGCCGTGTTTGCTGAATGAATGCCTAGAGGTCTGGGGTCACCCACGTGGCAGGTAAACCTGTGGGCTTCACTGCCCCAGGCCAGCCCTTGGCCACCACACCTGCCTTCTGTCCTGACTTGCTGGCTCCAGAGCCCTGCAGATGCCTGAAGATCGCCAGCCTCCTGAATGGCCTCTGCTGCTGCTGTGTCAGCTGCCCCACCCCTCCCCTGGGGGGACTGGACTCCGAGAGAGGGGTGGGGCTTCCAAAGACTGTTAGGAGAGGATGGAGCTGGCAGGAAGCCAGGAAGGGGGCTGGGCCAGGAAGTCTAGGGGCTCCTAGGGGCAGGGCCCAGCTAGGGTGGGTGCCGGGCAGAGAGTGTTGGGCTCATGTAGCTGAACTGAGGGAACTCATCTCTCTCTCTCTCTCTCTCTCTCTCTCTCTCTCTCTCTCTCTCTGTCTCTGGAGCTCTCTGTGCTGATGGGATGGGCCGGCCCTTCCTGGAACTCAGGCCCAGGACCTGTTCAGTATGTGTCGGGAAGGGAGTATGAAGATGTGCCTTCCAGAAGCTTCCAGTTCCCCTCCGCCAGGGTGGGGGCCAGCGGAGCCTGAGTTTCCTCCCTTCCACAGTCCTGGGCATGGCCCGCTGGGTCTACAGCAAGAGGCCTAGACCCCAAGCCTGGTAAACCTATGACATGCTCCAGAAGCCAGAACCCCCCCCCAAATTCGAGGCATTTCCAGACACCCAAGCCGCAGGACCGACGCCTCCCGAGCTCCAGGACACCCCAAACCTCTAGTTCCCCCAGACCTACTCTCCCCGGACCCAGGCCTGCCTGCCCCCCACCCCCACAGCCCGAGTGTCTGCTGCTTCCTCATTTGCTTATTTCCTCTTATTCTAAGAGGCCTCAGTGTTGGACGCTACCCACTCCTTCCAGGATGTGGGGTCTGGGAGACGGCCCACCTGCCCCTGGCCGGGTGGGACCCCTCTTCCCTCTTGTCCTGAAAACCTGGGTGTCTTGTGTGTACTTGCTGGCTAATTTTAATGTTTTAATCGAATGTGCAGACTATGATTCGCATTCCAATGAAATGATGGGATCCTAAAATAAAATATATTAAAATGTACATGGTGAGCTTCTCCCTCCTAACTGCCTGCCACTAAGAGGTAACTATGGGTATTTGTTTTTCATGTTTCATCCAAAGTTTCTGTAGGCTAATGAAATCTAGAAATTTATTATTATTATTTTATTTGCTTTTTTCAGTTAACATTTTCTCTTGGAGACAGCTGCTTTCGCCCGGGCAGCTTCCACCCCAGGGCCTTTGCATAAGTTGCTCCATACATTGGGTGCCCTTCCCCCATCTCCTTACTCAGTAAGCTCCTTTATCCTTCTCGATAAGGATTCCTTGATCATCCCATTAAAAAGGTGCCACCCTAGCCCTGGCTGGGTAGCTCAGTTGATTAGAGCATCTTCCCAATACACCAAGGTTGTGGGTTCGATCCCCAGTTAAAGCACATACAAGAATCAACCGATGAATGCATACATAAGTGCAACGACAAATCAATGTTTCTGCCGGGCCGGTGTGGCTTGGTGTTTGAGTGTCCGCCCATGAACCAGGAAGTCACAGTTCAACTCCTGATCAGGGCACATGCCCTGGTTGCAGGCTCAATCCCCAGTAGGGGGCATGCAGGAGGCAGCCTATTGATGTTTCTATCTCTCTGTCCCTCTCCCTTCTTCTCTCTAAAATCAATAAAAAAAAATGTTTCAAAAACCAGTGCTTCTCTCTCTTTTCCTCTCTCCCTTCTGAGAGGAAGGGCAAGGAAGAGAGAGATAGAAACATCAATGATGAGAGAGAATCGCTGATCAGCTGCATCCTGCATGCCCCACACTGGGGATCAAGCCCACAATCTGGGCATGTGCCCTGACCGACTGGGAATCAAACCAGTGACTTCCTGGTTCATAGATCGACACTCAGCCACACCGGCCGGGCCATTTTAACCATTTTAAAGTGAACAGTTCAGTGGTATTTTAGTGCATTCGTGTTGCACAGCCATCACCTCTATGTAGTTTCAGAACATTTCCATCACCCGAAAGGAGACCTCGTCCCCATTAGTAGCCATTTCGCAATCCCCCAGACTCCGGCAGCCACAATGTGCTTTCTGTCTCTGTGGATTTGCCTCTGTCTGTTCCGGGCATTTCACATAAATGAGGTCATACAACATGTGGCCTTCTGTGTCTGGCTTCTTTTCCTTGGCATGTCTTCCAGGTTCATCCACATTGTCCATGTCAATGCTTCACTCCTTTTTATGGCTGAGTAATATTCCACAGTGTGGACGGACGGCGTTGTGTTCAGCCTTCATTAGGTTACGCCCCTGACATTTTGCAAACGTAGATATTTTGCGGGAGCCCCAGGGTGGGGTTACTGGGTGAGTGGGCACATGTGTCCACGTTTCTGGTGACCTGGGCCAGGTGCCTTTCCTGGGGGCGGCACTGTGATATCCCCCCGCAGTGTGTGGGGTTGCCTGTTCCCCACATTCAGCCAGCACAGGTGTATCACACCTTTGAATTCTTGCCAATCTGATAAGTGAAAACAAACGGTCTCAGAGTTGTGGTTACATTTTCTTATTTGGAGTAACTTTGGGTGGGTGTGTTGAAGAACAATTTGCAACCCTTTCTGAAAAGTCTCTGAATTCTTCTGAGTATGGAAATGGGAAGAGCAGAGTCTGAGGAGAGGGGAAAGTGGAAGGAGTGGACTGCAGCCTCCCGGAATCTGGAAGGCTCTTCGCACTTATCCCATTTTACAGATGTGGAAACTGAGGCACAGAGCAGTTAAGGTTGCACAGCGAGTCAGGGGCTAGCGTGGACTTGAACTCCATCTGCCTGATATGCCAGGACCCCACTGAAGCTGAGGCCTTCTCCCAGCCCAGCCCTGTCCACTCCCTCCTCAATCTCACCGTTACTGTCCTCAGGTCTGATTCAGGCTACCTCTCCCTGGGGGAGACTGGTCTCCTCTCTGGACTCCCGCCCCAGTCCCCAGGCTCACTCCAGTTGTAATGTCTGTGGAGTGAATAAATGAATGCAATGCCCCTCCCCAGCTCACACATCTGCTTTGGCTCCCCATGGCCCTGGGAATAAGGTCCCACTCCTCAGTCTGCTTCGCGGCCTGTCCTCTGCTCCTCCGACACACACACACACACACACACACACTCACACTACCAGTTCCTCCTCTTAGCATGTCCACTCCAGCCACTCCCCTGCTAACCGACAGTCCCAGGGCCCATGCTTGGAGCGGGGGGCCAAGGGTCTTTGCTCCTGCTGTGCCTTCTGCCTAGAATCTGCAAATGGCTTTGCTTCTGCCTGCCGCTGCCTGTCATTCTCCAAGCCCCAGACTCAACGTCCCTTCACCCAGGGAACTTCCTCACCAACCCCGTAACACGGAGGCCTCTCTGTACACGAGCAAGAGTGCTGAGTCTGTGGGGGAGACTAGGAGCTTGGGGAGTCAACGGCAGGTTTTAGGAACCCTCAGCGAACTTCTATTCACGTGCTGAAGCTCCAATTTTAATGTCTCCTCCCCCAAGAAGCCTTCCAGGACTGCGTCCCTCCCTCTAGCCCTGTCCTGACTGCATGGGACTCGGGTGTCTGTGCTCTCTCAGGACCGGGTGTTCCTCGAGAACCTGGTGGGTCAGGGCTGAGGCCTCTTGGGGCCCCGGGTGATGTCTGTGGCGTGAATAAATGAATGCAAGGGTTGAGAGTCAACTGAGCTGAGACCAGGAAGTGAGTTGATGAAGGCGTGGTGATGGGACCGCAGCGGGGATATTAATGGGGGTTGACTGGGCTCCAGCGAGAGGGAAGCGGGCCGCCCTTCCCCCTCCCGTGAGAATCCCGGGCCTGGAGGCCTTGCAGAAGGGCGGGTCTTCTCTGTGTCTTCATTCTTGCCCTCTGCGCTCCACCCGGACTCCAGTTCCTCTTCCCCCGCGTCGCTGGGTGCAGGGTCGGCGGAGCGCTAGGGACCGCAGGGGATCGGAGAGGGCGCCGCGGCGACTGTGCGCCCGGGTCCAGGTGATCCAGCACCAAGCTCTCCTCCGCACCGGATCTCCCAGCACCGCCCAGGTAAAGGCGTGGTAATGGGACTGCAAAGACAGGAC